CCTATCGGGAAGTGATTTGCGATACCGTGTAAGTGAGGCCAAAGCACGGGGAAAGGTCAGGTGGTGATTGCAGGGTCAGTAAACATGACTCTAGAGCCTTGGAAAATTAACGGACCGGCCGTTGGAACGGGATGGAGCCCACGGGCCGAGAGAGCGGGCGTGGGTGGCCCATTAGCCGTGGGCGGTCGGGACGTTACAAAGAGGTTCTTAAATCAAAGGTGGGATCAACAATGGAGGTTGAGACAATTCCAGGGCCAGTGCCAGGAAGCATGCAAAGATTTTACCGTCTTTATGTTTGCTTAGAAGCCTTGAAAAATTCTTGGAGGCAGTCATGTAGGCCGATCATCGGATTAGATGATGCTTTTATGAAATGGGATATAAAAGGACAAATGCTAGCTGCAGTTGGCAGAGATGGAAATAATAGAATATTTCCTATTGCATGGGCTGTGGTTGAAGTGGAGGACAACCCTAATTGGCTATGGTTTGTGCAACTCTTGAAAAACGATTTGGGGCTTGAAGATGGATCAAACTATACAATAATCTCAGACAAGCATAGGGTGAGTCTTGTTATATATATATATATATATATATATATTTGAATATTTTTTTGAATGATTTATACTTATGTATATGTTATTTTCTTGACAGGGTATACTAAATGCAGTTCATGAAGAGCTTCCTAAACCTAAGCATAGGATGTGTGCTCGACACGTTCTTGAGAATTGGAAGAAGACAAACAAAGACATAGAGCTTGAGCGTTTATTCTGAAAAATAGCAAGGAACTACACACCAGCAGCTTTTAGGGATAACTTAGAGGCGTTGAAGAAGTACAACGTTGGAGCTTATGAGTCTCTGCAAAGTACTGCTCCAACAATATGGTCTCGAGCGTTCTTTAAGCTTGGATCGTTTTGCAATGACAATCTAAACAACTTGTCTGAGTCCTTTAATAGGAGTGTCAGAGAGGCAAGGAGGAAGCCGCTTCTTGAAATGTTGATAGAGGTTAGGAGAAAGAACATGGTCAGGAATGCAAAGCGAACTTTGTTAACTAATAGGTGGAATAAGAGGTTCACACCAAGAGCCAACAAGGAGATTGAACTTAATAGGTAGAAAGCTAAATATTGCATCAGGTATATGACCACAGGATATTCACATGAAATAGAGTATCACAGAGATACTTTCACCGTGAATATAGAGGAGAGAACCTGCGGTTGTGGCTATTGGCAGTTGAATGGACTACCTTGTATGCATGCTATGTGTGTCATCACAACAACAAAGCTGAATCTCAATAATTATGTATCAGATTACTACTTAACCTCTACATGTCGCCAACTCTATTCTACTGGTATGAAGTCGGTTCAAAGTATGAAACTGTGGCCACGTTTAGGCAGGTTACCCATGTTATCTCCTGCTTCAAGATTCAAGCGAGGAAGGCCTAATACACATGCAAGGAGGAAAGGTCCTCATGAGTCAGCCACTAATCCACATAAGCTTACACGGCATGGTCGTGTGAGAACATGCTCAAACTGTCGCAAAGAAGGTCACAATAAGACAAGGTGTCCTAATCCCACTGCAGCTCCTCCATCTAAGCGTCCCAGAGGTCGTCCAAGAAAAACACAGGTTGTTTGTCTCGTTTAACTTCTTTTCTTATTGTGTATTCAATTGCTTCTCATGTAAAACTTTGGATTTGTTGTTGTAGGGAGAGTCTTCGTCACTTGGAGCTTCTCAAACTTCTCAAGCATCGCAAAGAGGATTTGGCTTCTCTTCCTAGCTTGTGTTCTTTACATTTCACTTAAGATTATTTTGTTAACTCAGTTTTGTTAGGATTATATAATGTCTCTGGTTTTTTTGGTTCTACCTTTGAACATGATTTAGGTTTTTTATCTATTACAATATCTCAATGATTTATCTCTTGTATTGAACTGAGTATTTTAGAAAATTTCATATTTAGGTGATTTTGGAAGATATTTAGGTGATTTTAATAAAACTGCAGAGAAGAAAATGTAAATATTGGTGGTTTAGTAAAATATAATTTTATATTTTGAGAATGTTTTCAATGATTTGTATCAGTCTCATTTTTTTTTCACGCACTAAAGTTTGTATAAAACAAAATAACTATTTGCTTTTAAACTGTTTTCAAAACTGAACCATTTTGCCTTCAACGTCGTGACTTTTGAAGCAAAGAACTTCCTAAAGCAAGATAATTTATAACAATTTAAGATTCACTCATGAGAAAAAAGCAAGGTAATTTATCAAACTAATCCTATATCCAATAGTGTTGATGACTAATCTCATAAACTCCACTCTTTCCTTTGATGCTTGCTAGTAACATAAACAACAGTTGCAACATCTCTGCAACATTCTCAATTCTCCAGACCTCCTCTCTTGGTAGTAAAGGAAACAATTCTTCTTCTTCGAGCAAAGCTTTATTCATTGGATATGGAACAGAGGACCCTACCAACCGTTGCTACCCAAAATGTTTCACGTCACTCTATGGAAAACACATATCTTTCTCTCTGGTTTCAAAGGATTCAAGGGTAGACCATAGCACCAAAAAGCATCATCTTCAACTTTGGAATGCTGTCTCACATGAGTTTCTTGTTTTCATATTCTAAACGATTTCCTTGTAATACATTAAAATTCAGAAATGGTATCTCGTTTAAAAAAAAAAAAAAACATCTCTGCAACCTCTTTTGCATCCAAGAACTTCCTTTTTAATTAGCATCAAAAATAAAATAAAAAACACAACAACATGCGAATAAACTTACTTCTGGGGACATAGCACAACAAAAATAGGGACGTCCTACACACATTCAGTTCCACCGACTAACACATATTCATCTTAACATCATGTTGTCCAAAATAAAAAACAAAAAAAAAAATACATCTTAAAATCACGTCCACAACCATGAGTTAACGACTGAGACATATACATCCTAACATCACTTCCACATTCCGCAATTGATCTGAGAAAAAAAATTTTAGGGTTCCTGAGCTGTACGTTTCTTTTTTTTGGCAATTCTCTAAAATAGTCATCTTTTAAGTTTTTATCACAAAAATAAACCTCACCAATTAAAATGAACAAAATAGCACTTTTTATTTTGAAAATTTTAAGTTTTCTTAATTTTTTAAATTTGAAACCCTATCCCCAAAATCCCACTCCTCAACTCTAAACAAAAAATCTAGGATTTGTTAACCCAATGGGTATAAATGTATATTTAATAAAACATTTAAATGCTATTTTGGTCATTTTATTTGTTAAAGTCTATATTTGTGATAAAAGCTTTTTAAGTCTATTCTAGTCATTTTTTCTTATAATTAACGATGAGTTAACGTTTAATTAACTAAAGTCTAATTTTGCATAATCAATAATGATTTCAGAAATAAATCTGCATAAGTTGTAGTTGGGTATTAAAAGTGCTAATTAAAAATAGTTTATGAATTAAAAACTCTTTTTCCCCATTTTGAATGGAGTTATTCTTAGGTTCACCCCCTAGGGTGAACCTCTAGGTTCACCATCCAACAAGATTGCATTATTTCATATTTGATATCTTTTAAAAAATGAAACAAAATCTTGCTAAACTATATTATGTCTTTAAAAATAGAAATACAAAAATAAATAATAAATAATAAATAATAATATTAATAAAAACGAAAATCATTTAAAAAAATATTTTAACACTAAACCCTAAACTCTAATCCTAAACCTTAAACCCTTGGGTAAATCATAAATTTTTAGATAACATTTATAAAAAAAAATTAAAATAATTATTTTAACACTAAAACACTAAACCCTAAACTCTAATCCTAAACCCTAAACCCTTGGGTAAATCATAAACACTAAGTCCTAAACCCTAATCATAAACCCTAAACCCTTGGGTAAATCATAAACCCTTTGGAAAAATTTTAAACATTAAATCAATAAAATTAATACTAACCAATGTTACTGTTTTTTATTTATTTTTCTCTTATTTTTTCAATTTTTAAATATTAAATCAATAAAATTAATATAATGTAACAATATTTTGTTTTCATTTTAATGATATATTAAAAAATTTAATTTTTTTTTTGCAATTATTGATATTTTTAATTTAAAAACATAATATAATGTTAAAAAAAATTAAAATAATTTCGTTTTTTTAAATATTATTATTTTATTTTTATTTTTATTTTTATTTTACAAACATAATATAACTTAACAAGATTTTATTTCTTTTTTTTAAAAGATATCAAATATGAAATAACATCATCATATTGGTTGGTGAACAATTCTAAGGGGTGAACCCAAGAATCTTGAATGTCTGCAAAAACTTCTTTTCCGTCTTGCTATGTTCCCATGCTTTCTTCATGCGTATCGGTCTATATGGGTTTGTTTGTTTTACACAAAAAGAAAAACTTGTTCCACGAAGAGACCCAGCTACTTATACAACTTTCGTAGCCGCAATAAATCATATATCACAAGCAAGGAATAATGACTTACATATCCCGTTTCCAAGGAATAGAAACAGAGGGAAATAAAACCCTGCAAACTAGGGAGAAGAGGAAGCTTGACTACTTGGCGGTGGGCTTGAGCTCCCGTAGATGTAAGAGCTGAATCCCCAAAACGTCAAGATCAAAGACAGAATCTTAAACCCGCTCATCGGATCATGCAACAATATAACAGCAGCTATGCTCGTGATGGGCACTCTCACAGCGTTAAGCACTCCTGCCATGACAGTGGATGCCAGAAACAAGACAGCGGTCGCCCCAAGAACACCCAACTGAAACGTGACCGCGCTCCAGACAAGAACCTGAATGTACTGAGACTCCCCGCCTTTGAAACTCTTAGCCTCATGAGCCATCCCTTGGAAGTCTTTACTCACAACCATCCCAAGAGTTGTAAACGCAAAAGCTACTAACGAAACCATCACTTGCTGCTCCAAAGCAACGTGGAAGAACCTTCTTCCAAGCAGTTTCACGAAAACAAGCTCTGATAAGGCAAAAATGAGCCCGTGAAGCGCAGAGCCCATGATGTCCCAAAAGAAACCTAAAAAGTATTGTCTGTTGCTTACGTAATCATACCTATCAGAGCTTGAATCCAGGGCTATAATAGCCATAGCACCAGTGATTATCACAATGGAGTTGATAACAGAAGCGTTCATGGGGTTCTTCACAATGAGATATCCAAACAAAGCAGAGAACGCAAGAGAAGAAGACGCCAGAAGAGAAGAAGTTGATGCAGGGAGGTAGGCGTAGGCATAGGCATACATAAGGTTATCTGCAGCACTCAAGAAACCGAGGACGATGTAAGAGAGAACAAGCTTTGTGTTGAGAGGTGTTGGTTTGGTCTTTCGAAAGATGTATGTAGGAAGTAAGATGAGACAAGTGATTGGCCATCCAGCAACAGCAACCCAAGAGATGATCCATTTGCTTTGACCACCGTTTGAGAAGTAAAGACGTGAGAGTAGACTAGAAGCTGGGAAAGCTGTGAGCATTGAAACTCCACTAAGAAGCAATAGAATCCAATGTGAAATGGGCTTTGATTCATAAGCGTCTTGTGTAGATTTCTTGATGTTAGAAACCCAATTTGAATATGAAAATGAAGCTGATGGGCGTTCTGTTGGTTCTTCCATTAGAAGTCCTGAAGATATTAAACAATATTTGATCAATAGAAAGATTTAGACTTTAGCTGTGAGTTCTGCCAATGAGAATCACTATTCACTATATATCAAAGTTTCAAAGAAAACCCATGAACAACAGTGAATCTCAACAACTAAAAATCAAAACTTTATACAATTTCTCGAGTGGGTTTAGACCAAAACCGAAAAAGAATAGAGCTTTATCAGATACTGATGGTTTTTTCTTAGCCTTCACTACAGAAACAAGATTGTTCAACGAGTTAATGAATGATTAGAGAATCAAATTCAACAGGTTACACCCAAAATTGAGATTTAAAGTTTACTTACTGAATGACTCGGGATTATCTTCGTTCACAGTTGTCATTTCTTGAAAATCTCTTCTTTTATTGAGTGTTTTCCTTTCGGATCGCAACAATTTCGGTGAAGGAAGAAACTGATGCGGTACGGATCACGAGCTTTGGGAGTTCACGGATCCTTAACCGTCGGATTCGCTTTTCTAACTATTAACAGCTGAGATCTTGAGATTGTAATTTATTTGTTTCTACGATAATGACCATATGTTTGCCAATGGTATGACATGGTTGTTGATGTCATATATTTTAATAAAATGAGTTGTTTACTCTTAGGACCACTTTTTATTTTTTCGTTATATTTAGAATCACTTCATATATTGACAAAAAAAAAAAAAAAAAAGAATCACTTCATATATGTAATGTAATTTGTTGTGTATCAGCGATAAATTCTTGATAATTTTATCTTTGATAGATGTTTGTTGTGTGGACGGATGATCCGTGGACGGGTAATATAGAAATGGTATCTATGTGAGTTGGTGGTGCATGAAACAGTGATTTGTGGATAAGTTTTACGTGGACGGTTTAGGTTGTTGAATAGTGGATGGTTATGTTGTTGGTGGTTTCATTATAAATGATTTGTTTTTCCTAAACTTGAAAATAGATAGATGTTCACACAGACCTTGTCCACACAGACGTTATCCGTATCTCCGTCTGTGAATAATTACATTGTGCATGCATCTCCTCGACCATGCTATATTGTGTATGATGACAATGCTCATCCACTCAACCTGCAGACAATATCCGTATGTGATATATTAACAAAATAGTTATGTAGCCTTTATGTGAACACCAGTATAGTTTCTATACTAACAAACCTAAATTAGCATCTTTTTTTAAATACATGTACACATTAACATCTATATCCACACGTTACAATAGGATACGTGTATGTGTATAAATTTTAAAATATAACAAAAAAAAACATATTAAAGTAAGTATCAAATTATAGAGAATAAAAAACATAATATATTACATCAAGAATTTTTTTTGAAATATATCTTTAATTTAAAAATAAATAAAAATAAAATATTAAGAGGTAAAATCTAATTTTTAGAAACACATTCTCTCCTTTCCGAATCAAAACCAATATTTCATTCCGGTAAGGGAAAATTTGTCTACTCTCTCTCTAGATCCCACTAGAAAGTATCTTGCAAGTATAATGTGACCTTGTGTGTAACTGAAAAATGATAAATTATCGTCGAATGTAAAAAATTCTCTAAAAAGGTAATTCTTGTTGTATAAAAAGAGTGACATTTCTGGTGAAATAATAGTACTGAGGAAATAAAAATGGATAGAGATTATTATTCATAGATAATTTAATATTTCTGACATAATAACAAACTGTTTAGAAGAATTGATAGACACCCGCTTCAACTGATACGATATAGAGAAGAAAAATGCAATCCATTGTTCGTAGTAAATGAACCCAGTCTGATCTCGACCCAAACATCAGTACCATCATCTCAAGTCTTACGCTTTGAGAACATAGGTTTGGTGGATGGTTCTTGAACCTCTACCTCACCTTCTAGTGGTGTGGATGGATGTGGCTAAACAATTGGAAATATAAAACTAATGGACATGAGAAATTAAATATGAAAAATAATCTACACTACATATAGAGCTAGAAACGCTACAATGGGAAATGGAAAGTTTGATAAGCCATTTGTTATGTCAACATTTCGGGATAAGCTGCAAAGATCTGATAGCAATGTTAGGGGATCCTCAGGCATGACCGAAATTCTCGACATAGTTGGAAGAAATACTATCACTATCATTAAAGAAACTTTGAAAACTTCATATTTGATAGACTTTGAAAACTTATATTTTTGATAAAATTGAATTTTCTTTGATTTTAAAATTGTCTGGTTAACAATAAATCGATTAAACCATGTTTATGTGCAATTAAGTTTCAAACTATTAATTCAGGGATAAATAGATTTCGAACTATCAATTCGGAGAGAAATAAGTATATAACTTATAATTCAGGGAGGTGTGGCACGAGGTGATAGTTCGATGGATATCTGATGCTATATGATAGTTTTCGTAGGAAAATAGCAAGTTTACCAATAAATCATGGGTTGGCTGCCTAAAAATACCCTGTAAATACAATAACCTTATCTATTCCCACCTATATTATCTACCTCTTCAGAAAACCACTGAGATTTTAAATTCTCTTCATATATCTCTCTATTCTTTTTAATGCTGCCTAGATCTCCATCTTAATCAGATTCGTAAACGCAATTAAAAACAAATAAATCGTGTTTTGTGAACATATTATCCACTAATTATGACTCCATTTGGACTTAACTTTAAAAACGGAAATCGATTTGGGGGAAACTCAAAATTAGGGCTCAGTTCTCGACACAGAGACGACGAGGAAAACAGAGGATATAGTGAGAGATAGAGAGAAACAAGGGCGAAGAGTGAGAGGGCGACCGAGCAAAGCTTGAGAAGGAGTTCGGTTCAAATTCAACGCAAAGAGGACAGAAAGGGAGAGAGAGAAGAAGAAGAAGAATGAAAGAGGGCAGAAAGTACATGTTACTGGCAGACATAATGAAAAAGACGATGAACAGTACACTATGTAACGATCTACTCAACAGCTTTATACTCTATTTTTAGGTAACAGTACAGAGGATAGAGACAGCGATGAAAGGTGCCATGGACATAACAGAGACAAAAAGAGAGGAGTTTTGAGTGTAATATCTCTTTATTTTGTATTTCCGGCTTTGTAATTCTCTTAGACTTGTGTTGTTTTGTGTTAGTCTTTGAAACCTTGAATTGAAACCTGTTTTTTTTTAAGTTTATGTTCTTTCTTCTAATGCATTAACCATAACTAATGATTTAAACAAAACAACACATCAATAAGTATATAACAATCTGATAAAGTAGAACTTTTGTTTTAAACATAAAGACAAACATAACAATCAAACAAAGTCAAACTCATGTATTAAGCATTCCGTAGCAAAAGAAAGATTTAATCAAGAAATAATGTTTTTTGTTTTTTGAAGAAATCAGAAAATAATGTTGTAACTTCCTTTTTTAACCTTGGAGGTATCTCAGGCCCATGCAGAAGTCTAGACTAATCTCTAAAGGGGTGGTGCAGCCCACGAATGGATCCTCACTCCAGGTACTCCAGTGAGCCGTAAATAGGCTCATATCCGCGTGGCCACAAGGTAAGATATAGTGGGGTGCCTTCGAATCCATATTGCTTAGCAAATCCTAAAGTTCTCCTACCACAAGATCACTAGACCACTACTTTGTAACTTCTTCTTCTTCTTCATCTTAGGGTTCTTCTTAAGATCTCTATGTAATTGGGAGTTGTTCCCTTGTTTCTGTGAGCGGTTTCTTTCTTATAATCTCATGTCACATGGAGATATGGTTTGGCGTTGATGAAGTTGATTCCATTGTTTTACTGTTCATCGTCTTCTTCGTTACGTTTTTCAGTAACATGTCTCTCTGCTCTCTTCCATCCTTCTTCTTCTTCTTCTATCTATATCCTCTTCGCCTTGAAGACTAACTCAAACTCAGACTCTCTCTCTCACACAAAATTACTCGGTCGTCCCTCTCACTCGTCGCCCTTGTTTCTCTCTCTCTCTCTATATGTCCCTCTGTTCTCCTCGTCGTCTCTGTGTGGAGACCTGAAAACACACAAACCTTAATTTTGAGTTTCCCCAAAATCGATTTCGTTATTTAAAGTTAAATCGGAAATTTTTGTAGGGTTGGTCGGGTCATGATTAGTGGATAATCTGTTCACAAAACGCTATTTGTTAATTTTAATTTCGTTTCGGATTTGATTAGAGCTAGAGATATAGGCAGAGTTAAAAAGAATAGGGAGATATATGGAGAGAATTAAAAATCTGGGTCATTTTATCAAGAGGTAGATAGTATAGTTGGGAATAGATAGGGTTGTTGTGTGTATAGATGGTTTAGGCAGTCAACCCGTAAATCATACATATGAGTTCAAGTCTTGAGAAACAAGGAATCAACATAGTAGAGTAAAGTCGACACTTGACAAGATATTGTTTTTCCTCTGTTTCTTTTCCATTGATATCCCCATTTTCTTGTTTCTTTCGAGTTTAATTTGTTTCTTTGATTTACTAGTATCTCCTACTGTGGGATTATACTCTGTGAGATCAGATACACTTGTAGACCCTCTTATTTTCAGTGTTAAAAAACAAAAAAAAACAAGATAGTGTTAAAAAGATGGTTGGTTAAATGTTTTTCTTTTTAGTGATAGAAGGCTTTAAAAGATGATATTTGTTTTCCATTTTCTTTCGTTTATAGTACTTGCCAGTGCACCATTGCTGATTTATAAAAATGGGTTTGTAAGACCATTATTGTTGTATTTCATTTATAAGAGTATTTAACTAAAAAGTTAAAATTGTTGTTTAATGTAAAAAAAGAACTAAAAAGATAAACTCCTTTTAATATAATTATAATAAAATTATAAAAAAAAGGAAGAGTGGAAATTAATTTCTCTCAAAAATTTTAGAGGCTCTTTAGAGATTCCTGAACCATTTGTATATTATGATTAGTTTATTTATTTTTATTTAATTAAATATTTTAATTATATTGATATATTAAGATTTAATTATGTAATATGTATTTTGATGCAAATGCTCTTAAATGCATGAAAACATTATAACTTTTTGGATAATATATGGCTTATAAATGTACATAACAGTATTTTATATGTGTGATGTTAAAAAAAACAGTATTTTATCCCTTTAATATTAAAGTAGAAACATTCCTATAAACTGTATTATTATCTAAAATGTCATTTTCTATGTTGCAATCCCACAATCACTCTCACACTCCATATATAAAAATCATCTCTTTATTAGACAAATTACATACACAGCCATTATTCATTAATTGGTAGCATAACATAATATATTATATGCTTCATAATTAACAAAGTTAACCAATCGGATTAATTATATACATGTGAAACCGGTTATCTAATAATGGGAGTGAAGTCACTATAAACGATTGCATATCTTATTATATTATATTCAGTATTATTGCTCATATACCATTTCTCACATGCAACAAATTATACTCCTATTAGATTAGATGATCCAAGTGTTTTATTCAATATACCAATTTTGTGATAATATAATAAATCAACATAAGTTT